CGTTGTCACTCTCTGTCTGGATAAAGGTCGAGAGACGCTTACGAAGCTCGTCCACTGTTCCAGAACTCTCGAGGCCGAACTCAGTGGCGTAGGCTAGTAGTTCCTCTCGGTTGAGGTAGTACACCCACGTTACTTTCACCATTGCTGCAAATTTTCTCCTTCGTTCTCTCGTTCTCTTCTTGCTGATATTCTCCTCGCTCTCTTGTTGTTTTTCTCGTTGACTTCTCTCTTATTTATCATTAATTTCTCGTTGACTTCTCAAAGTTCCTGCTCGGGCGCCATTTGTGACGAACTTTTGTAGTGCCGGGGTAAGCTAAGTCCGTCCAGGGTTCCTGAAATTGGAATTTCTACTTCTCTCCTTCAAAATGATAAATCTTAAATTTCAATCCATTTACTCTTTATTATTAAATTGTTAATTAAGAATTCCTATCAAGAACGCTTAAAGGCAGTGGGAGTGAATATCCCTCCACTAACCTTACCCGTCGGCGGGAGTGGTAACCTCCGCCGAATATAAGACTAAAAGCAAATGAGGTGGAAACTCCCAGGTGCGCTTCGTTTGCCGGTAGTGTGTGCCCACCGACTAGTATACCTGCCTACTAGCGACTGCCTCCCTTTACAAAATATCTCCTCGCTTTTATACTCTTCTGCGCGCAGGCAGACTGTTATTCTACAATAACAATGCTTAACTACAAATGTTAAGAAATTAACAAACTTCAAATAGCAACAATTGAATACTGAATATAGTGTTGTACAATTCAACAAGTATATAAGTATATGTAAGTTCAATACAATTCAATTTATATAAGTAAATGTGATACTATTCAATTTAAACAATTCAATTTATTTATTTATTATAATTAACTCAATATAATACTTCGTAAAAATAAATAATGTTGTGGGGACTCCAAAGCCCCTGGATTTGGGTCCTCACAGCGTGAACCCAGGCGCTGCGGAGTGGAAGCGCGCACTGCTTACCACTACACCACAGCGGCCGATCATAGAATTTTTACACCGTAAAATCCCCGTAGAAGAACCCCATAAGCGTAGTGGCTCTGTTCAATGCCACAACTGCCTGGAATTTGGTCACACATGTCGCTACTGCACCTTACCTGGTGTCTGTGTTATCTGTGGGGATTTACACACTTCTACAGAATGTGTGAAACCAAAAATGGACCCAAAATCCAAAAGTGCAGTAACTGCGGTGGAAATCACACTGCTAACTATAGAGGTTATCCAGTTTATATCTCAATGAAAGAGAAAACAATTCCCAAAAATATTCCTATTAGGCATAACCCCATACCAGAACCCGCTAAGCCAGTGTCTGCGCCAATGACTTTACTTCATATGCACAAATGCTCAAAAATACTCCTCCGACGCAACCTTTTTTTGGTCAGAATAGTAGTAACCTAGAAGCTCCTATAAACAACTTTATGAAAGTTATGCAGGAGCAAATGATGGCAATGCAGAGCATGGTACAAGATTTGATTAAAAATCAAAATCTATTACTTCAAGCCATTTTAGCTAAACCATGAATAATCTCAAAATTTGTTTTTGAAATGCGAACGGGCTAACCCGGCATAATAACGAACTCGAAATTTTCCTAGAGCGCTTTCAAATAGACGTTTTGCTTATACATATCTGAAACCCTCCTTACGCAATTTAATAACTTTCAAATTAATGGGTACAAATTCTGTAATACTAAGGATCCACAAGGGACTATTCCTTAAGTTTGGCAGTAAGTTTATTGTAGCAGATTATAATGCCAAACATACATTCTGGGGGTCTAGATTGATTACACCAAAGGGTTGTGTTTAAGCGACTTATGCATTTCCCGCGACTTATGCATTTGAGCGGCTTATGCAACAGCGAACACTTACAAGCATTTATATTGCATTTCCCGCATAAACCAAGTGCAGCGAACACACACACGCACTTGTATTGCACTCCGCCCAAAACCAAGTGCAGCGAACAAACACACGCACTTGTGTTTAAAAGTAATTCGCTCGTTCTTAATTGGGTATGCATTTTTTATGCAATTCTCAAATATCTCTTCGCTGAACTTAGTGAAGTGATAAGTCGCTGGCATTTTCAGCCATGGTTAACGCTAAACCAGCTTGGCTATCACTCGGCGCTTTAAGCATAGCTCCCACTCCACTCCCGGAGTAATTTTTGGCACGGTAGTAAGCTACGGCTTACAAACCACACTGGGGCTCTGCATGAATGCATCTCTGAATAAATCGCAGCTCATTGCACAGCAGCCTACGGCAGCTAGAGCATGGCTTCTCCAATGGAGTCCCCCAATTGACTCATCAGCCTGCCCGCATATCTCACAATCTCTCGCTCGCATAGCAGGCATATGGAGTGCGTGGTTGCCTTGATGTGCACCTATAACCATACGGGCTCATTGAGCTCGATACATAAACACTCCCTTTTGGCAGCAGCAAACATCTCTCGTACGCGATAAGAGAAAGTAGAGTAACTACTTTGGTGGAGTAATAGCAAGTACGTTAAGAATTTACTCTCTCAACGCCAAGTAATGTATTTATGCGGAAAAAGAATAACAAGGTGTTGTGAGTAGAGTACAATGCAAATAGTACTTATTGAACGAAATGCGGCAAATACACTTGCGTTGGCCTTTAATATGTATGTATTTAATTGTGGCATTAAACGCAACACTGTGCATCTCGATGCCCAGCATCGATGAGCGTAACCTTCGTCAGAAGACTTGCAACTTCACCTCTGGTATGAGCAAGCTTTGGTCAACCGTGTGGCCGCTGTCCAACCCGGCGAAGCGTGACGACAGAGTCGAAATCTCTTTCGGCGACCACGCCTTGGCGGATCCGGAGTGATGATTGAGCATTTTTAGCCGACAATTCTCACTACATCCATCGGCGGACAAAGGCAAAGGTCGAGTGACTAGAAGGCTGCACAAACTGCCAATACCCCGTGCGCCTCTTGTTTTCACCAGTGGTGAAGTTCAGGTAGCCATCGGGAAGGCGAAAGCCTCCAAAGCCATAGGTCCCGACGGAATGTGCATGCTGATGCTGAAAAAATTGGGTCCTGCGGGAGTAGATTAGCGAAGAAGCTATAGGCCCTCTTACAGCCGCAATATACAAACCACCTGACCCATGCGAGGCATCAGCATGGGTTCCGTAAATTGCACAGCACAACAACAGCACTTAACGCCATAAACACCCACATAACTCGTGGCCTTAACCGAAAGCGCCCCTGTAAGAGAACGGTCCTAGTAGCGTTGGACCTGTCAAAGGCGTTTGACGCCGTCAGCCACTCCACGCTACTAGAAGACATAGAGGCCTCCTCTCTCCCACAGAGGCTCAAACGGTGGTCGGAGAATTATTTGAGTGGTCGACACTCGTCGGTAATGTTTAGATCGAGCAAACTCAGAAAAATAAAACAGGGGGTTCCACAGGGTGGTATCCTTTCCCCGCTACTGTTTAATTTTTACATTCCAAAGCTCCCTCAACCCCCAGAGGGAGTCTCGATTGTCTCTGACGCCAAAGATTGCTCGATCATGGCGTCTGGGAATGGAATTGATGACCTGTGTTCGAAGGTAGCCGGGTATCTCTCCGAGTTTTCTCGCTTCTTCACTGCAAGGAGCCTAACCCTCTCCCCTACAAAATTCTCTGCGACCGTGTTCACCACCTGACGAAGGAGGTCAGGCTACCGCTGGAAACTCACGTTGATGATACACCAATTCCGACGGTGAATAACTCCAAAATACTCGGAGTCACCTTCGGCAGTCTTCTCTCTTTTTCTGCGCACGCAACCGCTATTGTCAACAAATTACAGAGCCGCACCAAGGTCCTCAAGACGCTAGCCGGCAGTACTTGGGGCAAAGACAAAGAAACGTTGCTGGCAACATACAATGCAATAGGCAGCCCGGTTTTAACTTACGTAGCACCAGTGTGGTCGCCGGGGACTAGTAGGACGCAGTGGATGAAGCTGCAGACTACACAAAACACCACACTACGGACAGCGACTGGATGCCTTCTGATGTCACCAGAACACCACCTGCACGACGAGGCGAAAATGCTCTGCAAGCAGTTTGTCGTTGGGAGCCATACACGTGGTCACCCAAATATACTACTGTTTGCAGAAGAGCCCTCGCCCAGGCACGTCAATAGGCATCTCTACGAACTGGCGGACGAAGTCCAGAGGTTCATTAAACAACCTCTGGACCCGTCAGCTTATCGACAGGCCCCGACCGGCATTCACAGGGAGTCAGTCTCGAGCTGTGTAGACTCCAGACCTATGAATGCCGTTCTAGGCGCACAACCACCGGACATTGACGAGACGAAGCTTCATGGGCCTCAGGAGACTAGAGCCACAATAGCCCAACTTCGCTCTGGCTACTGCAGCAGGTTAACCTCATACCAGAGCAGATTAGACGCAGATGTGCCAAATGAGTGTCCGGCATGCGGAGAGACACCCCATGACTCGAAACATCTCTTCGTATGCCCGGAAAACCCGACAACCCTAACGCCTTTGTTCTTGTGGACCGACCCTATTGAGACTACACGCTTCTTAGGGCTTCCGTTAGTGGAGCTTGACGACAACGACTGAGACATTAACCGATATGGGCGGGGTTGTTTTAGCCGCTACAACAACAACAACAACAACAACAACAACGTTGAAGGACAAGCCGACACGAGTTGGGCTTAGTTGCCGCTACAACAACAACATGCCGTATAATTCAAAGGAATCATAGTTTTACCCCGGGCCCATTGGCTGTGGTGCGCATCCAATTTGCAGATTAAATAAAAATAGCATCTCTTCTTCAAAAAGCTACAAGGAACACTTAAGTAGAGATTGGTTAAAAATGTATTCAAAAACTTTCAGCGTTGGGGCAATCCCGTAGTAAATACATTAAAGTAAATAATGGACCACAATTTACAATTCAAAACGTGATTTACAATTTAGCGCACGCCTCCATGCTAATATGTAATTAGAATGCATAACTAAATAAAAGATTTTCTAACCTTAAAGGCGTTTTTGATCCATCTGAAAATTGTAGATCAATATCTAGCAATCCTTCCTGATATTGCGCAGTTAATTTATTTGTGACCGAAGTTTCTGCTGTATAACCGTTGTCAATACCACTGTCTGGGGAAATAGTTAATTGTAGTCCTGAGATCACACGCACAATTAACTTTTTTAAGCTGACTTTGTCACTACCAACGCGAATTTCCTTTGTCCCTATCACGCGTCCTGTTATAGGGGATAGAACCTATAAGGGAAGTGTGGATTAGTTTTTAAATAACGAATGACAATAGCGATGAGGTGTTATACCTGTATATCGGTTCGTCCCATTGATTTTCCTTGCAGAATTCTTCCTTTCAATGTAGCAATTTTCGGATCGGATACACGTAGGAGCGGTTGAACCAAATCCGTAACACGCAGACCAGTGCGGCGTGAGATAAAATAACTTATGCGTCCAGAGTTCTACAAGATCAAAATAATTACCTTAAAAACCGTAAGTAACCGCTTTTCACAAAACTCACTTGATCAATAGCTAAAAATCGGGCATATACTTCCACAGGGCTTTGTTGATACCGGGCCTTACAAACAACTTTATCTGCTATCCCTACTTCACTTTTATAGTGACTCCATCCGTTGGATCTTTTTTTACGACGTTGGCTTTGTTTACCTGACCTACGAATATATGAAATTTTGTTAAATTTATCTATGAAACAATCAATATGTACAAAAATCCGGAAAGGTTAGCGAATAACAGTGTCCAACAAAACATATCCGGCCGATAAATAAGTACGCTTTATCTAAAGAGTGTGTCAGACGTGGCAATGGCATATGTTTCGAAAAGGCTGTCAAATTGAGAAATTTCAGAAAGCAGTTGCATGAGCGGTCACACTTTGTATGCAAAGTGTCCTTCGAAAGAGATTTTTTATTTCTGAACGGCGGATTGCAGGGAAAATTTTCTTTTTTTGGCTGTTCACACAGATGAATTTCTGGCAATCTTTCTCGATACTAAAATACAGACGTGAGCTGCTTTGGCGGTTGTTCGATATTTCCATTCGTTATAAAAACACAATTTTCAGTTTGAAGCTTAATTTATTATTCGTAACTAACAATTAAATTCGGAAAAATAATTAGTTAAAATCACTTCTATTAGTTCATTCAAAATTATGCGTTATATTTCTCACAAACTCGCGATCAGTGTCACACGGCAACACTCGATTAGTTTGACATCACTTGCATCAAAAACAAAAATTGCTAGAGCAGTACGAGCAATTTGAAATATGTTTTCGAAATCGAAATCAATCAATTGCAGTCACACCTTGCAGCTTTTATTTCTGAAATTGATTTCCGAAATGTGACAGAAAGGTGTTTCTGGCTGTTCACACATCGAAATAAAATTTCTTTCACAATTTGACAGCGAATTGCGGAGAAAAGTTGGAAATATTGCCACGTCTGACACGCTCTTTAGTAAAAAAAGCTTTTAAGATACTAAAGAAATAATCAGCGCAGCAGAAAACACAGATTTGATATTACAAATTTTAGCGAATTATATTAAATATTTTTCGACTACGAAAGTTATGGGAAACGGCTATTTGTTTACACGTGTATATGTATGTAATTCTATCTTCTAAAAGGCAAAACTAAGGCACGCCTTATACCAATAAATACTGTCTTTTTGGCTGCAAAAACATGTAAAGAATTTACAAACTTCCTTACTAGTAAATATAAAAGGAAAAAAAGCGCAATATGTTTTGTCTGACACTTTACAATGCATATATGACCAATATGAAATTTTTAAGCAAACACTTTTGGAAAATGCTCTTAGAACTTCAAAAAAAATGACGATATATTTTTAACATTTAAACCATGATCAAAATAGGGAAATATAGAAAGGCTGAGAGACACTTTTATCATTTCTGACGTTTGCAAACAATATATGTTGTGATCCCATATGAGTCCGAACATACCATTTTTTACCGGAATTTACCAGATTTTACTGGAAGTCGATCCCGTGCTCGGTTCTCTGGCAACTGATTGGACAAATAAGGGAGTAAATATGGTCAGGTCTTTGTCAGAAGTTACCAGTTTTAGTATGAAGATTTTTTGCTGGTAAATGGGTCAGACGATTAGCAGCAGTGTGTTTGAAAAGAAAAGTGCACGTTGCTAATGCATGTTATAAAATATTTAATTATTTTTGGTTACTTACATGTGTGAGCTGAGTGTGTTTATTTAAGAAATAAGCAAAATTTTGCAAGCGAAATTTGGAGGTTATGTTGAAGTTGTCAGAAGTTACCATTTTTTACTAGAAACTGGTCCCGGTAATTTGAGTGTTACTCTCTCGCTCTGAACGATTTTTAATTTTTTTAGTTTTACTAGATTTACTCCGAGAAATACGGAATCAAACCTAGCACTTTAAAATTTAATCACAAACTGACACCACCCATATACCCATTTCAATCTCAAACAACAAAAAATTTTAACAATTTAATTTTTTTCAAACATTTTTATTGAGCTTGAGGCCGTTTTTAATGAAAAACTTATTGTCGAAAAGCAACAACAATTTGAAAAATGGTAGAAGTGATAGCTCTTTCGGAAATCACCATATTTCCTCATCAGACTTTTTTCAGTAGGATTCGAACCGACGATCCCACTGACTCAGCCAGTTGCCTACGCACTGTGCTAAGTTCGCCTTGTGAATTAATGTTGCTTTTTTCCCACTTTTTCATTTGTTAGGCCAACACAGTCAAGCGCAGGTATTCCGCTGTAATTCACACTTGATCATGTGGTTGTTGGTTTTGTTGGTTTTTGTTAATAATTCTATTTTTAGCATGTTTTAACTTTTAGGTGTGCTCGTCCTTAAGTTATAAGGCCATAAAATAACAAAAACAAGTTTAATTTTTTTAATTTTCAATTTTATACGATTTTTAAATGCAGTCAAAATTAAAAAAAAGTCACGGCCGACGAATTGAGAGAACGGTCTACCTTACTGTTTTTATCATAATATTTTAAAGGTAGTTTCACTTAAATTTTTTTTGACAGAAACTGTGTTTGACAGCAGACACCTAATATTTCCACTATTGTGAAATAGATATTGGGGATTTTAATTTCTTATTATTTTATTTAAAAAAAAAAGTTGAAATTTTCTGCAAATATCGTCGTTTAAAGTACAAAACCGCGTCTCAACAAAATGCAAAAACCGCGCATGTGAGGTTGCATAAATTACACTGATTTACAGCAAAAATGTTCGATGGATGCCACTATCCAATTTCTACGTAGAATTGCTCGGTGATTCCGAAAATCGAGTTAATTTTTTTTTTTTTAATGGATACGTTTTCGAGATAATTGTAATTTACCGTTACTCAGCTTAAAACAAAAAGTGGTTCCACTTAATCACGTATATCTTACGAACCAATTTAACAATCTTAAAAACAGGAACGTCAAATCAAAGGTGTAACGAACCCGGTTTATCCGGTCTATAGCTGGGCTGTGGCTCAGTCGGATGTTGGGTTCCCTTATCCAAACGTTAAAATAAATACGCCAATGATTCTTATAGTGACGCTTCTTTATTTCGCTATTTAGTTGGCAGCGTTTGCACGTCACACCAATATAACGTATTTCCTTGGCGGCGTTTCCACGTCACACCATATAAGTACTACTTG